CACTACCCCAACTGGGGCCTTCCAGATGCAGCGCCCAACAAGGTGATGAAGATGGTGTCTACCATAGCCAGGTAAGTGCCCCGCCACTCTCCTACTATGCCCCCTTCTTCCTCCTCCTCAAGCTGGACTGCTCGCCATAGCCAGGCGGAGCTCCAACTGCCCTTCACCTCCAAGCAGCGCTGTACCAGTCCAGCTCTGCACTCCAGCAGCATGTCGCCAATCCTTGCATACCACAAATGAGGAGGAGCTACTAGCTCCTCCGAAAGATATAGCGGCCTACTGGCCTCCTGGGCGGTGACTTCCTAGGCCGAGCGGCCTCCCAGCAACAGGTACCTCCTCCCTTTTGGAGGGAAACATCATTGCAGGCTCTGCTAACCTCCGGACAGGCCCTAGACCCGGGCTACTTGGACTGGTACCGGCCTACCTCTAACCTACCGCTACTGGGCCTCTAAAAATGCCAACTTTTTGTCTTCTTCTGCTCGTCCTCCAGTACCCGACACTTCTACCACTACTTCGGTGGTACCGGCCTACCTGCTACTTGAGTGTTTTTCCCCTCTGCTCTGAGTGCCGCGGGCCTACCCCCGCTACTCGAGTGTTTTCCCTCACTTCCTCACGGTAAGAAGCAATGACGAGGGTACATAAGGAAGACAGCAACATACCTCAAATGCTGCCTCCAACCACAAATTTCTCACCCGCAACCTAACGTGCATTTATGATGATCGGTCCTTGCCTCGGCACAACAAAGAGCGAAATGCAGTTCAATCGCGGCTTACATGCCACATCAGCGAGTTCTCATCATCTAGCATATACCCCAATAACACCTCATAGCCTTTCTGGTTCGCCCACACGACCCTGGGCCCCCTTACGTTCAATGCCCAAGCATTATCACTGCCCCACACCACATGTGAAGCACCGAATAGCTATTGTGAAGAACCAGCAAGCGCAGTTTAAACCAGCTCCGATACCAAATTGCAAGGAAAATGAGCAATAGCGAGATGACAGAATCCAGATAACACGATCACATTGAAAGCCAAAAAGTCTCACAGTGCCCGGAAAACAGCATTGCACCAATGTTACACCAATGGAGAATCGAAACACTGAAACCAAATGTCAATGAGAGCTTACTCTCGTCATCACCAACAAAGAGTCCAGACCCTTCCCCCTACTTGGCGCTCGGCGCCCATACTACTCTCCACACAACTACTATCTGCCTATGAATTGACAATGCAACCATTGACGTCAACAGCCACAAAAGTACATGAAGATGTCGCCCAATACAGGCCATCGCCAATACCAGGTATGAGCCCTCACATCATCATCCTCATCTCTCTCTCTCTCTCTCTCTCCCTCATCTTTCTCCTTTGTCTTCCCTCTATACACCCAAAGACCACCACTGCGCCTTGCTGTTTATCCAAGCCCAACCAGCTATGGAAGTTGGGCTATGGCGCTGCCCACAGCAGCGCCCTTCTTCTTGCACGACCGCACATGCGCAATACCTTGCTCCAACGCTAGCAGCAACACGCGAGCAATCATTCCAGCAGCGCTGCCGTAAACTAGCAAGTGCCCCAATGAGCTGCCAGGCAGCGAACTTTTTCCTATATGAAAATAGTCTGGCCTGGCCTGCGGCCTGGCTGGGTTGGGCCAGCGCCCAGAAGCTTCTGATAGGCCCCAGGTAGTTGGGCCTCTGCTGCTGCTGTCGGGCCTCGTTCAGTTACGCCTCCCAACTGCTTGTGTATGTTGCTGCGGATGTGGTCGAAGGTCTACATTTCGGAAAAGGCCTAGAAGGCTGTGGAAAGTATTTGCTGCTAGGGTCCTAGGCTCCCTCAACCAACTGACGCGAGACAACTACCTGAGCCCCAAATACGAAATTGACAGTATTCGGCCTCTTGTGATTTGTTAGGCCCGCCTTCACTTACGGCGGGTGCACTTGCATAAGGGGCTCCTTAGGCCTGCCGAGGAGCCATATCCTCACACTCGTGTAGACTTAGGAAAAAAGGAGAATAAACCAGAAATTCAGCCCTTCCAGCAACATCATATCTCATTCAATATTACTGAGGGGGGATACGGTGACACACAAGTTCAAGCAATGCACAATCACTTTTGCGTCAAGCATCTCCTCCTTGACACCGCTTGCTTGCTTAGGACTCAGCCTTTCGCCAATGGCTCACCAGAAGACCCTCTTTCCTTTTGTCACTAGGGATTCGTTGCCACTGATATCTTAGGTTCTTAGTTTGACAGCTTGGACAACCCTCCCCCTTCATCCGACATGGAGTTTCCTCTACCACAGCAAGTTGGACTCTTAACGATGGACAGGGGCATTACCCACCTGTCCATTGTCAGATGCCCAACTGGCTGTAACTCGGGCCACGCCACGTCCTTACAAGGGAGTGGACCATACAAACTCCGCCTACTAAGCTCCTTCACCCAGTGTCGGAGACCCCCTTAGTCAACAACCCTTAAGATGACTACCCCCCTTCTTCTATTGCTAAGGTCCTCATCCTTCCCAAATTTAGACAAACACGGGTACGTCGGGGGCTCGTGTGCCAACCGGGTACAAGACTCCTTGGGGAGGCACGTCCCTGGCTATAGAAGATAGCCAGAGCGCCCTATCCTCTATCGTACTTGTGGTGCCATGGGATCCCGCAAGTACCCAGGGTTCCAGGTAGCCAACAACAGGGACCAGAAGGGTGCTCGCATCAAAACACATATAACACCCATAAAAAGTGGTCTGACGCGTCCTATCCCACTCCTCTCAGTTTTCCCTTAAGATGGTGAGTGTCATTCCCCTTACTTTCCATACATAGTGGTTGGTTCCTTCTCGTGAGCATCTTCACAGGTGAGCTAGTTTTCTTAGGAGTCTAGCAACTCCCTTTATTCTCTTTTTCTTTCTTCGTTTGGCATTTCATAGGGCAGGATTGTTCCTTTTAGATGACCGTCGAAAGACACCCATTCGGTTGGATTACTCCACCACGGGATTTTTATCGGGCCCCAACCGGAACCGGAACACCAACCGCCTGAAGCCCTCCTTTCAAATGAAGAGGAAGATTCGGGCTGCGACTTGCCACATTCCTCTTCTAGGTGGCAAACACCAGCGCTGGAAGGAGGGGGGCTAGAGCCACTACCCAAAAAGGAGCGAGTTGATCAAGCGTGCAGTCATGCATGTTATACCTATAGATCTGGCCATGCCATGCACCCATCCACCCTCAAATTCGCCCCCCACCGGAATGCTGAAGGTCAATTTAACCCCCTACCCGATATCTCCACCATTTTTTTAGGGCCCCACCCTGTTAGACTTTCGGGCTTGAGTCGACCCCTCCGCAGGTCCCAATTGGCTCGGCTCGGCCCACGCTCATGCTCAGGGTGCGGAGCCATTCGTCACAGGGTCACCCCACCTAATGCTTTGAGATAGATGGGAGTGGGTCAACGAGCGAGAAAACTTTGACTTTGGGGATGTAGCTCAACTCTCACTCTAAGAGGGTAAAATTGTTGATCCTTCACATGCGTCCATTCTTTGATGTTTCATTGTGTTCTCAGGCAGTTACTCCTTCCAATACTCAAGCAGTCTAAGGGTTCCTTTGAGAACTTTTCTTATTATATGAGTAGGCCAAGCATCCTCCTTGGGTCACACATCCATTCACTAATTACGGGGTCTAACGGCTTCATCGAGGTAGAGGGACGCCCCTTATCCTCTGGCTGATTTATGTGCAGGCTACCTCTATCTCATGCATCATACGTTATGTCTTGTTGCTTCCTTATACACCCCTTAGTCTTTTCGGGGCCCCGCTCGCACTTTCATGTGACTTGGTCCCCTTCTCGACCACTTATTGCTTTCGTAGACTTACAATTATGCAGACCACATTTCCTTTCACAAGCTGGACAAATATGCCCAAACTCATTCATGGGAGAGGGTTACATTCACAACCTATTCAACTT